TGATGCTCCCGCCTCAGACTCCTGAATCCTGGGGTTACAACTGTGCCCCATCATACCCAGATAGTTTCCATTTTCATAGTTGGTGTTATTTCAAAACATGACTGATATTTATATATAGATACAGGGTTTTTCAGACTATTTTTGAGTGAGCTTTAATATTTTGTATCTTATAAGGAATGTATCTATTTCTTATGCCCTTTAGCATTTATTGGCATAAAGCTGCTCATAGTCTCCGATCCTTTTTAAAATTTATTTATTTTTTGCAGTGTTGGGGACTGAACCAGGGCGTGAGCATGCAGGTGAGTGCCGCGGCTCTGAGCTACATCTCCAGCACTCATTTCAGTTTCTGTAGAATCCACAGCAATGTAATGCCATTTCTCTCACTCTCATACTGTGTTCTGCCTTCATTTTGTCTTGCTTTGTGTGGCTAGAGGTTTAGTCATTTTACTGATCTCAAAGGACCAGATTTGGGGTTGATTGATCTCCTTTTTTGTTGTTGCTGTTTATTTTTTATTTCATCAAAATATTTTGCTGCTTTGTTATTGCCTATCATTTGCTCTTTTCTTTGTAGTTTCTAGAGTCTGGGTGTCTGGTGCACTCCTCGGTTTTATTTGCTTTCTCACAGCTGACCCACAGAGCCCCGCTTCATTAGCAGAGGCGTGGAGTTGGGTGTGTGAGACTTGGCCCCAGAAGACGAGCAAATCACTTCTGCTCCCGCACGGGGAGGCCCAGCTGGTCAGTCCCCTGGGTCTGGCCCCTGGCCTGGCCTGGAAAGTGAAGTCAGAAGTCATTCTCTCCTTTCCTTCTCATTAGTATTAATAGCATAATTTTTAACATTGTCACTAAAGATAGCCCTTAGTCTATCTTACCAAGAAGTGGGAAACTTTTTTTAAAAGAATTTTTTATGAGACAAGATCTGCTATGTTGCCCAGGCCGGCCTCACACTTGTGGCCCTCCTGGCTCAGCCTCCGGTTAGCTGGGATTACAGATGCTCACCACTGCAGCTGGTTGAGAAACCATTTTTTAACTGGATCTCTGTTCAGTTAAATTCATTAAAAAACCAGGGTGCCTATTATCACTGCCTGGTCTGATGTTAGGTATTAGGTGTGAAGAGATGAAGTCATGACCTTTACGTAAATCTGCAGTCTGTGACTTCTCACCCTACAGTTGCTTTGCAGCTCCATTCATTTTTGGATAATGGAATTTAGGTTCAACATAAATCCATGAATTACAGAATTACAGAGCTGGTGAACTCTGGAGGCTCACCTTAGAGACACGAAGGCGGAGGCCCGGAGAAGCTGAGGCAGGGGTGGTTCCACCAGGAAGCTCTATCCAGTGCGACAGAGGGAGGGTACAGTGGCCCCAGTGGCTCGATGACAGGCATCTGCAGACCTATTTATGTACTTATTTGATACTGGTGATTGAACCCAAGGAGTCTTGAGATACTGGTACATCCCAGCCCTTAAAATTTTTTTTTATGTTTCAGTGCTCTGTGCCATATTTGATGCTATTGTCATTTTTAAAATTACATTTCTGTGTTCTTCTTTTACCACCACCACTCCTAGCTCTGTCAGTTCTCCAGATGCTTGTAATATGCCGGCCCAAGTGCTGTGACCAACTTCGTGTTTTGCTGAGGTGGGAACAGCAGCCTCTACTTCTTCTCAGGCGCTGGCCCTGCTAAGACCTTGAGCCTTTACCCTTTCCCTGCACCTTGCCTTTGGTGGGGGCTGGTCGCAGGCACAGCATCAGAGGCCAGCGGCTGTCTCCCACTTTCTGCTGCCTGTGCGGCGAAGCCTGTGGAGCTGCGTTCTGACAAGGTGTCCCCAGGCCGCAGCAAGTCTCCGTCGGTGGGATCTGGGGATCGCCTCAGAGGCCTGTACTGCTGGGGTTGTAGAGGTGCCCGGTAGTGAATAAGCCTCTTTGCTGCTGCTGGGTGTGGGAGCAAGGAGGCGGCTCGCCTTGGGTGCCCCAGCATCCCCTGCCTGCTGCCACCTCCCTAACTTGCCCTGGATGCTACCAGGGCAGCAAGTTCGCCGGGGCTTGGGGAGGATTGCTTCCAGCAGCCAGCAGCTGTTTACATCTATGGTTCTTTTTTGGGGTAAGTTCTAAGACATCCACCTACCAAATGCTCACATTTTTAAAAGAATTTGAATTTATTTTGCTTGCTTTAATATGAAACAAATTCAATTTTTTTCTCAGCCAAATGTTACTCACTTGACAACAGTATATGGGAAATGTCTCAAACTGCAATGCATGACCTTTTTATTATGGAGCAGAATGTATTTTGCAAACAGAAAGACAGCAGGAAAAGACTAATGTGCTGACATTGGAAAGGACAGCAGACCAAGATGACAGTATAGGAACATTGTGGACATTTGTTTTGATTGTAAATTTAATTTAAAAAGTAAATTTTTGTTCCTAATTAAATAAGAGTGTTTTGACATTCTCGTCCCTCTAGGCTTGCTTGTTAACCTGGGCCTGTTTCTAGATCATCATCCAAGAGGGAACCAAACACATAGCTGACTCTTCCGTCACTCTGGTGACAAGCCCTTGCGTGTGATGTGGTCCCATCCCAGATAACCGAGTCAAGTTCACAGAATCGCTGCCTGGGGTTCTAGGGGCTGCACGGGGGTTGCTTCACCAGCGTGTACCACACTGACAAAGGCTTTGCTTGCGTGGCTTCTTCTTGTTTTTGCGCAAGTATTTTTTAGTTTTCCACTGCAGGAAGCGAAGACACGTGTCCAGGTAGAGGGTCATGTAGCTCGCACTCATGCATCTGATCCCAAATTCCACGTGACAGCAAATTGCATTTCTGTTGTTTGACCCCGAAGTGGTTTTCTGTGCTTCTTCAGGGTTGGGGGGCGGCAGTGCCTGCACACCCTAGGCAGGCGCTGCACCACTGAGCTCCTCCCCAGCCCCAATCTCTGTGATTCAATAATATTTGCTGATGTACTTATTATTATTGGTTTTTCTTTGACAAAGTGTCACCCTGCAGTTGAGGCTCACCTTGAACTCACAGCGACCCTCCAGCCTCAGCCTCCTAAGTCTTGGGATCACAGGCTTGAGCCGCCACGCCTGGCCTTAGTGATGTAAAGTACTTAGGAGATATCATTTAATACCTACCTAATGGCATCCATATAACTGAAACTAGGCCTCTTCCTCAGTGACAGTACCGGTGTTGTGGTGCTTAATGACTTAAACCAGCAGTTCTTTGGTATCACTTAAGTCCGTCTATGCACAGTACCCTCATAGGGACTGGAAATGCCTTGCTGTGACAGGCTTGTCTGAGTAAGGCTCTAAGCCAAATCCATGGGTCTGAGCTGGCTGTTGGACAGGAGGGGGGCTTCTGGCGCCCAGGCCCGATGTGTGATGCTCGGCCGGGCTGGGTTGGCCCAGATGTCCACTGTGTGTACTGCCAAGCACTGCCACTACCTGTTCGCATGTTCCTCTCCAGACTCCAGACACTGGGAGTAAGGGACTGGGGGACTGGCCTCATGTCCCCAGGAGCAGCACATGGCCCAACACAAAGGAAGGTGTCTGAGGTCAGACTACAGCCCCAGTCCCCATTTTTTTTTTTTTTTTTGGTTTTGGTTTTTCTCCGGTACCAGGAACCGAACTCACGACCTTGCGCTTGCCAGGCAGGCGCTTTTGCCGCTGAGCTAAATCCCCAGCCCCCCAGTCCCCATTCTGACAGTCAGGTTTTGGGTCCTGGCTCTGCTAGTGAACTCGCTGGTGTTAACCAGGTAGTTATCCTCTACGCAAGCTCATTGCCCTGTCTTGTCCTCCATGTCACCACCTGTGAGGTTGGTACCAACAGCGCACACTCACGGGGTGCTGTGTGGATTCTGAGAGCTACGGTCAGGACCTGTTAGCCTAAGGTAACCCGGAGAGGCGAGTGGGGACCACAGCCACCCAGGTCTCTGACCGAGGGCACATCCCTGCGTGACATCTGGGGACAAGCAGGAACAGGTGCTTCCCCTGTAGCTTGCTTGCAGCTAGTTTAGAACTGTCTGGCCAGACGCAGTCACATGCACGGGTAAACCCCAGCTCCTCCAGGAGCTGAGCCCGGAGGATCTCAGGTTCAAGGCCGGCCTCAGCAACTTAGCAAGCCGCAGTCTCAACACTCAAAATGGAAAAGGGCTGGGGATGTAGCTCAGTATGGTGTTTGTCTAGCGTGCTGGAGGCCCCGTGTTCAATCCTCAGGATCACAAAAGTAAATGAATGAAATGAAATAACGAAGATTAAAACTCTATCTGCCGATGCCCGGGCTCCTCGTCCCCTCCCGCCTGCCATCTGGGTCACTGCGGCGGGTCAAGAGTCCAGCGTTCCTTCTGAAGCTGGCCGTGCCCTCCCGCCCTGCATGGTGCCTCTGTCCGCAGCGGCCCCTCTCCCAGGCTGCTCGGCGACATGAGCTCTGGCTCCACCTGCAGGCTGCTTGTGGTACACGGCAGTCCCAACGCCCTGGGACCTGGGAGGCCCTTCTTCCTCTTACCGCAGGCTAGATCATCCAGAGGCCCTCCTCCAGCCCTGCACAAGTGTCGGCGTGGACAAGGGCCTAGGCACAGACGCCCTGTACCAGAAAACCGACCTGGCCAGCGACTCAGGCAGGGGAGCAGCGGCTCAGCTCTGTGGGAAGCAGAGTGCGGCAGGACACAGCCCCTCCACCTGGTCACCTCCCGTCTCTGGGCATCAGTGCTCGCTCATACCTTGGCATGTCACTGCTTTTTCTCAGCTTCACTTACTCTTCTGTGGGGTCAATGCCTCGGCCTCTAAGGCGGACCACATGCATGATGCTCCAGGGCAGAGCTGGTGTCCAGGGCCCTGCATGGTGACTAGCAGCGCAGCTCAGGCCTCCAGGGGATGGCAAGGCAGGGCTGCACGCCCTCCCTGTGATCAGCAACTTCCAAAGCCTGTCTCTGGCCTCAGCATGCCCCAGGAAACCATCAGAAACCCAGGCTGCCAACATCAGAACAATGGGGCCCAAGACTCTGGTTGGGTGTGGAGTTGAACCCACAAGGCTCTTGGGCGACACTATGCCCAGCAACCCACAGCTGAGGAAGGGCACAGGCGGGCTCATCCCCACCTTGTGGAAGAGGAGCCTGAAGCTCAGGCAGTCCCCAGTGAAGGTGGCAGTCGGGTCTGCACCACACATCAACTACGCACAGGTGGCATGGGACGTCTGTGGCTGAAGGGAAGGGAGGACTTCGAGGCCAGGCTCAGGCTGCTGCTTCCACCCTGCAGCTCTCCTCACAGACTCGAGGCCCGCTTCGGACTCACTCCTACCCCTTCTCATGCTTTACGATCCTATCTCGGGCTGGAGGAGTTTGGTGACCGCCTTGGGTGGAGACAGGGATTAGGCACTATTCATTCATATTGGCCTAGTGAGAAGATACAATTGGCTTTTCTGTACTGTTTACTCTGCTTTGTGATTTCCAGAAAAAAAAAGTTTTCACCTAGAGCTTATAATTTTGTCCTCTGTGTGATCTAATTCTATCTTATTTCCAAAGCATTTCACAATTTAAGTGCTTTTTTCCAGGCATGGTGGTGCACACCTGTAATCCCAGCACTTGGGAGGATGAGGTAGGAGGATCGTCAAGAGTTCAAGACCAGCCTGAGTTACAAAGTGAGTTCAGAGCCAGTCATGGTGGCACATACCTGTAATCCCAGCACTTGGGAGGCTAAGACAGGGGGATTGTTTCAAGTTCAAGGCCAGCATGGGCTACAAAGTGAGCTCAAAGCCAGCCTGAAATGCATAGTAAGACCCTGTCTCAGAAAGACAAAAAACAAAACAAGTTAATTCAAAGCCAGCCTGAGCTACATAGCAAGACCCTCCCTCAAAAACAAAATCAAAAAAACCCTAAATGCTTCCCCCTCCCTTTCCTTACTGATCCTGACAATAATTCCAAGTTGGAACTTACATAGCAGCAGACCCACTTGCTAAACACATTTATTCAATATCGGAATCCGACTGAGTGCCTAGACCCAGAAGCCCAACCCCTCTGGTGAGCAACCTTGATGTGAGTTTCTCATTCAGGACAGTTCTCGGAGGGTGGGTGGGTGAGGCTCTGAGGACAGCTGCTACACACCAAGCGTCTGCTGGGGGACACACAGAGCAGAGCAGTCCAGAGTGGGGTGGTGCCTCTCACAGGTACATTTATTCATGCCACAGGGAAGCACTGCTTATGGAGGTATACAGTGACATTGTGTGTCCCCAACTAACACAGCTTGCTTCAGGTTACAGGCAGACAGATGTTTCATCTCATGCGTACTCAAGAGAGCTGGTTAATGATGACCATGAGCAGGCGCAGGACTTGAACCTTTTGAAAAAGATATACAATGATGGGTGTAAATTAGGAAGCAGTAGAATACAGCTTATTATCCAAGTATCGACAAGTCAGGATTTTAGTGCTATAAGAGCAGAGTTAGTTCTGCACAGAACACTGACTGTGTTTAAAGGCTCCTGCAGGCAGCAGCTCACCAGCAGGGCCGAGACGGAAGAGGCAGGGAACATCTCTCCCCAGAGCCCAGGGAGCCAGTCCTGGTTCTGTGTAACACTCAAATAACTGCAGTTTCTTTCACTGGGGAACCAGGGAAGGGATATCCAGCACCAGAGTATAAAACTGTACGGTACTTTTTTTCAAAACACATTGAAAACACATGATCGTGAATTTCACAGGTCAGCATGTTTGCATGGCTACCCTGTGTCCCCTACTGGAGGCATCAGCTGTTTCCAGTTACCCACCTTCCTTCCCTCCTTCTCTCTTTTTTGTTTTTTGAGACAGGGTATCACTATGTGGTTTAGGCTGGCCTTGAGTTCACCTTGTAGCCTAGGCTGGCCTTAAACTTGCAGCAATCCTGTTGCCTCAGCCTCCTGTCTGCTTCTTTCTTCCTTTCTTATTCCTGAAAAGTTTTACTGACCAACGAGGGTGAGCAGCAGTTTTTCTAACAATTATTCCTCTCTTTTCCAGCAGGCATAGCAAACTCACACCTGGAGTATTTTTCACTTTTTTCATACACTCACTGAACTGTGATCAGTTTCAGTTGAGAACAATGATATAACCTACCTGTCTTGAAAAGGTGAGATGCTATTCTTCATTTCCAATCACTTTAAAAAGCAAAAATCAAATGAAAATAAAACAAAACTTACCTTTTAAGGCTTTACTTCTTTTATCTAAAATAAAAGGGAAAAACTGGTTACGTCAGTGCTTTACAAAAATGGCTTTAGTTGATTTGACTCACTGTTGAGATCAAGATTAGGCCGAAGACAACATAGCTCACGCAAAGCATTACACTTATCTGCCAGAAGATAAGTTACTGCAGGCCTGACCACCAAGAGGTGGTGAAGTTTCTCTCAGAGATGTTCCACAGACAGTGAGAAGCAAGCAGGTTCCTTACTCCCTACCATCTCTCTTCTTTTTTTGAGACAGGGTCTCACTATGCAGTTCAGGCAGACCTTAAGCTCACTTTGTAGCCCAGGCTGGTCTTGAACTCCCGATGATCCTGCCGCCTCAGCCTTCTGAGTGCTGCGATTACAGGTGTGTGCCACCATGCCCTCTCCCTACCATTTCAAATGTAGCTGCCTTTTCACTTTTCTCTCCTCTTAATCGGTGGTGTTGCAATTCGTGATTGGGCCTGATTTCTGCTCCACTGAGAACCCAATGGCTATTCCTCCTCTCCAAATTTTGTTATGAAGAAATTTCAAATATTCATTAGGGTTGAAAAGTAAAGCACTATACACCCCATTAAAGTACTCTTGGATATTTCGTCCTGCATCTTTTAAGATGAAGGACACTGTCTAGGTATGTGAAATACCACTGTCGCATGTAGGAGAACTCAATTCCAGATGCCATGGTCTAGTTCTGCACCCCCCTCCACAAAGCGTTTCACGACTGACCCAGACTGGGCCCACTCTGCGAATGACCAGAGCGGTTCTGATGCACATGTCCAGCTAAAAGCCACACTGCGTTGGTAGATGAGTTGTGATTCCCTCTGAAAACAATATTCTTCCTGGCTGCACATACATCAAACACACAGGAACTTACCAGCACTTCGGATTTTATAAACAATGAAGGTCATCAACCCCATTCCTACCCAAATCTCCTGGTAAACTTGGGTATAGTATGGCTTCAAGGGGACCCAGACGTTTTTAATTAAACTTTGAAGCATCTGAAAATGAACACAGTAATAGATATTATGATGACTATTCTCAACATAACTGGGTAAGAGATTTTCACATGTTGATGACACTATTCCCCATGATAGGGTGCTGCTCTCGGGCTGGAGCTATTCTGTCCCCCACTGAGAGCCCCTCTACAGCTCTCCACAGCTTCTCAAGCCTGTCTTACCACATCGGCACTCAATGACCTCCATTCCTTCTTCCAGTGCCCGCTATAGGATGCCCTTCCCCAGAACGTCCAGCACAGCTCTGCCCAAAATCACACACCCGCTGTTACGGGGAAACATGAGTCTCAGCAGCATGACAAAGAGAACAGGGCACCGGGACTGCCTGCGCAACTAATACCAAGGACCTGGGCACACTTAGCCCAGTTAAATACAAAACAGATGGCAGAGGACGAAGCCCCACATGTGAAAGAACTTATTTAATAAATATAAATATTAATTACTGGACTTGATGGGAGTCATTAACTCCTGAATTTATGGTTTGCTTTTATGTGCAGGTCTCAAAGCTTCTGATTACGTTTGAAACTTATGATCAAATTACCAGGTCTTTTTATTTATTATTTATTTTATGTCTTTTTGAGACAGGTTCTCACTATGCAGTTCAGGCTGGTCTTGAACTCACTCTGTAGCCCAGGCCGGTCTTGAATTTGAAATGATATTCTTGCCTCAGCCTCCTGAGTACTGGGATTACAGGCGTGCGCTACCAAGCCCAGCTTCAGGTCTTTTTTAGACAGGGTCTCATGACCAGGTTGGGCTTGAACGTGAGACCCTCATGCCTCAGCCTCCCAAGTGTTGGGACTCAGCCATGTACTCCTCCTGAGCCTGGCCCTTGCTTTCATTTTAACAAGGCTTTGTAACATCTGGTCTGATGAAAGGCGGTCATTCCACCAGCTGTCAGGAAGCAGGCGGTCCAAGTACTTCTCACGTCGCTCAGACCCTCCACTCTGCCTGCAGTGGGCTTCTCACTTCACCCACCGACCTCGGCTCCACTTGCTCCCTCTGCTACTGGGGATACCAGGAACCTACGCTATTTGGTGTTCCCGGGGTTTCCACACCCGCTGGCTCTGTGACAGACTCACAGCACTGGATCCCTCAAAAGCTCAACCTCTTCTAAGGTCACTGCCTGACCTCTTAATCACTGAAACCTGGAGCGTGACATCATTTATTCACTCAGCAAACGTTAACTGATCATGTGCAAGGTGCTGAGAAATAGGACACCTGGAAGTGTCCAGAGCAGTCACTGATGCGCCGATACCCCGAGGTCAGAAGGAACTCAGAGAGCTGAGAGGGGCGGACGGCCGGGGCACTGCCTGCCTGGATTCAAGCCCCGGCCTGACACTGGCTGACGTACAGCGCGGAGAGGACGGCGCCCACCTCGGCGGGCTGTGATGCCCTCCGGGGGGCCCGCCCTGCGCAGCCCTGCAGCGCGGGGTAGCACCAGGCACTGGTCATTTGGAACGGCGCGGGGGCGCTACGGGAGGGAAGGGGGCCGGATCCCAGGCCCCTGAGGGCCAAGGAGAGCGCGTCCACCCCGCGAGCTCCCGCGCCGACCTAACGGGCGCCCGGCCGA